GATGCTTGGATGCTTATGTTTAATTAAGGTGCAATGTTCCTTTCACATCGACCTCTGACCCACTTTGTATCAAAAAAGGAACCATCAGGGGGCCAGTGGCACAGCAATAAATGTGGCACTCTGAGAGACTGAGACTCAGGGGAAGGTTCTAGGTTTGTGTCCAGCGACCTTCGTGAGTATGCCAGGCATGCACATGATTGAGGGCTGGCCGAGGTTGGTGTGATAACCCTCCTCTGTGAGTACAAGCTCTCTGTCTCTGTGTCTCTCGGCCTCTCTTGCTCATGGAAGAATAAACTTTTTTTAAAAAAAGGAAACATTAAGGTGAAGTGGTTTCTTAAAACTGGATGAACTATGAGAAATAATTTAAATATTTATGACCTGTTCCACAAAGCCACGTGTAATCAATGTCTTCATTTTCGTGCCTTCTCTGCTCCATGTAGAATTAGGAAGGTGATCATCAAAGAGTGAGGGTTTAGAATGATCACTGGAAGAAAAGAGAATAGAAAATCGGAATATGAGCTGGTAACATATGGTACCCCTGGGGGGCCGAGGATCTAGAAGAGAGAGGGCTGGTTTGGTGAATGCCAGAGGCTAATTACCAGATTACCAGAACTTTAGGGGACCCCTCCAATGCTAGCTAGCCTGATACATTTTTCATTCATGAAAGAAACATCCAGGGGGGGGGGGCGCGCATCAGGAACTTCGAATGGGGACTTCAAAGACCTGGGGCGTGCTGGGGTTTGCTGTGGATGAAGTGCCCACCTCTGCTTATTTGCTAACTCTTGGCCTGTAGACTTTTTCACACTGTCAGCCCACTGTCCACCAAGGGGCCTGGCTGTGGCTCTCTTTTCTTGGGCTATGTACTTTCAACCAGTTTTGAGCAGCCCCATTTCAGATTGGCCTTTTTATGTTTGATATAAAGAATAGTTGTTGGCCAATTTCATCTTTTCATCGCTGTTCTCTAGGCCTGAATCCAAGCAGTTTGTCAGATGCTCATTAACTCCCCCTTTGGCTCTTTCTAGTGTGTCTCCTAAGCTCATTGTGCCAAGAACTAACGCTTTCTTTTACACGATTCTCTTTCTCTGCTCCATCAGGGAGACAAATTACTTTCCAAAAGGGATCGCCAGGGATGGTTTAATGAGAATTTCTTTGGGGCTAGGCATGGAACGCAATGTAGTTAACATTCGGTGGACTTAATTGGACTTTTCTTTTCTGCCTCTTTTTAAAAAAACCTGAAGCTATCCTGTTAATCTCTCATTTGTAATCAATTGTGTTGACTAAACAAAAGTCTAGGTCGTCTTTTCTTCCTGTCCCAGACAATCCTTTGTTGCCTCTAAATGCCTCATTCTTGAGTGATCCTGGTCGCATAGATGGGCCCGATTGTTGACAGTTCATTATTGCGCTTTTGTCCATTTAATCTTTCTTGCTGTGTTTTGCATGTGCATGCCTTAATGAGCTCCGTTGGCAATTAACATGTTTCTAGGAGCAAACTGGTTGCTCAGACGTTTGAGAGGGAAGTGCAGGGAAAAGGGCAACGCAGCTGCCTTGAGGTTGTTTATTTCCCAGCATTTTCTCCAGACTCCCATCCTCTTTGGCAGCCCCTCCCCCTTCCACATGCCCCTTCCCCTCCCCCTCCCCCAGCCCACTCACCACCAACACACCTGGACGCCTTCAGCCTGACACTCTGCGGCCTGGCTCAGACAGCCCCCTACCCACTTGCAAGCCAAACAGCAAAATGGGGACCATATAGACCTACTTCTGCGGCCAAGGCAAGAAGCAGCACCATGCCCCCCAAAATGTGTCTGGATCCTGGCAACTTCTCTGTATCGCTCTTTGCAGAGAGGAACCTCTAACCCGCCTAAGGCAATAGGACTGTACAATCTGTTATGTACAAGGCTGTGGCTTTGGAAGAAGGGTTTTTTTTTTTTTTTTTTTGAGTCTTGCTGGCAAGATTGCTGAAGTGTGAGCAGTCATGGACAGAACAAACATCTTGTAAGGGAAAAGATAATTGGAGTCTTTTTTGTGTCTGTGACAGGATTCCCCTCCCCCGCCATTTGATTTTTTTATATTTAAGGGCGGCCTCTTCCATTTAATCAAGGTTAGAATATTAATATGCAGCTGATGACTACCTTGTTTAAGTCATTTATTAATATTGTAAACTACAAGTCATGCAAACAGTTTAATATTAACGGAAGAAAAAATAATCAGAAAACAGAGCCTTTCACCCATCAATTCCGATGCATGGTGAATAACTAAGCTAAGATGGTTGGTTACACAGAGGACTCCGCGCTGGCTTCAGAATTCCTGTTGGCTGTGAAGGGTGGTTAGTAATTCAGGAAGAAGGCTCCTTGTCCCCTTGCACTATTTTTCAGGTGAAGGAATCCTTTCCTGAATCCCACACCTGAAGGAAGCAGATATCTTAAATCCAGGAGTGACTTGAAACCTGTGGAAAGCAAAACTAAGCCTTATAGACACACAACTCTGTTTATCTACAATTAACTACCAGATGTGAAATAACACCTTCTCAGGTGAGAGCGATTGACAGAAGCTGGCGTGAAGGTTAAGTAGCAATCAGATTATGAGGAAACAACCTCAAGGAGGTTAGAGTGTGCAAGAAACACGGCTCGGGTCTACCCCTGAGCCAGTTACTGCCGATTTCCCTGACTGCAGAGATGAGCAGTCCAAGAGAGAAATGCCTCCTACCCCACCCAGGAGTTTGATTTTATTTGCTGCCTACTTTGCAAGCAAGCAACTTCCGCTCCTCTTCAGAACTGTCAGCCTGGAAACAAGAGCCTCCCCCAGTTGCGTGAGAGGCGTGACCCTCCCCATAGTATCTCCAGTGAAAACTTACTACACCAGGCTTTCTCAAATAAAGTCATCGCCCTTGATCCTCAGAAAGTTATTTCCCTGGATGAGGGTACTGTCTTCTTTTCTTTATCCTTTCTTCTCCAAGAGAACTTGACCATGATTTTCACACGCAGATCAACTCCCCCCCCCACCCCACCCTACCCCACTGAGTATCTAGAAGATGCTTTTGCACTAGGTTTCGTAGTATCTGCTTCTGGCTCAAAGTTCTGGAGCTATGGAGTGTGCTGGCCTGACCATTGTTTAATCTCCAAGAGGGGCATCTGCCCGGGATCTTCTCTGGACAAAAGAAAGGATTTTAGCTGAGAGGACGGCTCCAGGACACCCTAGATCTCCCCCAAAACCAGGGCAGCCGGAAGGTCAGGCGAGGCTGCAAACACACTGTACCAGAACGTGGAGAGGAGCTGACTCCTCAAACCAGCCCCAACCTCCCTCCCCATAGATGTTTGGGGAAAGCAAGGCAAAATTTCCATATCCTTAGCGGCCAAGTCCTCCATGCCCATCCTGGGGTTTCCTGGGGTTTGTGGCATCCACTGAATTTTCGGAGTTAAATCTGCATATTCCTCTGGGTCCCAATCTCCCCTCGGCGAACCGCAGCCAGAATAAGCTAACATTTAAATTCCCCCTCGTTTCCTCGCCCTCCCCTCCCTGGCTGCGTCTTCCTAGACTTGGGGGAGGGGGAGGAGGAATACAAAAAAACGAGGACGCTCTCCTTTCAGGAAATGGAATTCTAATGTACGCGTTCCTATTTCTGAATCGGAGGTACTAAAAATACCCCCGCGACAGCCTGAGGAAGCTGTCGCCGTCCTCTGTGCAAACAAAATCGACAATTTTTCCCCGCGCAATGGGTCTGTGAATTGGGCCGAGGCCGAGGACAGAACGGTACCCCCCACCCCGAGCGGTTTTCTCCAGTTCCCAACTCGAGATTTCTACCCCATCAACGAGAACGAAAGGCAACGTAGGAAGCCCGGAGTTCGAATCCCTGTCCTTCCTAATCCCACGACTCTGAGCTGGTCATTTAGCTTGTCGCTGTCTCTATTTCTTCGTCTGTAAAATGGGAATAGTGATGTCCAGGTTGCAGGCTGTTGTCAGCATTCGAGAGTGTGTGACGCGTGCTTGACATAGAAAAAACTCTCGCGGAATTCGAGCCTTTTTTGCTTGTGGAGGCCACTGGCGGCTGAGCGCTTACTGCATACCCAGCATTGGGCTCCCTCGCACTTAAATTACTCCTAGAGTTACTTGGGAACTGCCCTTCACTTTAACCATCTTTCTCTCCAAACAGCCGCCACCCGCAGTGGAAATTCGCGTGGGGTCAGCGCTCAGCTGCCCTCGCCGGCTCAATGCGCAGGCTGCGTGGAAGCGCACTCCCGGGCCCCGCGCCGCGTTTCCTCCGCGCTCTGGGGAACATTGTTCCAGAAGACGTGGGCTGAATCGCCGCGCGGATATTAAAAGTGTGTTGGAGGGGCGGCCCGGCGCGACGCGCCAGTAATCTGAGCTCTTGATTATCCAGATTCGGATCAAACGGGGCGGCGGCGGCCGGCCCCCTCCTGGGAATGATTAGATGATTAATGTAATGCTGTTTGAAGGGTCTCTGTTTTCTCTCTTAATTTGGGTCATTACTTAGAAAGCAAGCGTGAGATCATTTCATCAGCGTGCTCGGCAGCGGAGATAGCTATTCAGGAAGTGGGCTAACTGCGCGGTAATCAGGGCCCGGGAGGTGGCGGCAGTGGCGACCAGCTCTGCGCACCCGGGCGCGCCCTCCCGCGGTAGGGCGCAAGGCTCCTAGAGCCAGCCCGAGACTCGGAGCGCAGGCCAGGGAACCCCGGAGCGGTGGCTGGCCTGGGGATCCCTACCCTCTAGCTCGCGCCGCCAGAGGCGACTGGGAGCGGTGGCTGCCTTACCTAGGTCGTCCAGAGGACCGGGCGTGCCCAGAAGCGCCCGGGCGGTGCAGTGCCCTGATCGTTTACCCTCACCTGGCGCTCTGCTCTGCTCCCTTGCACCCTTCCACATTTAACCGTTTCGGGGTGGTGGTTGGCGAGTCTTCTCATCCAAATAACACCTAGAATCCCCAGTGTCTGAGCAGTCACCAAATAAAAACTTGGCACCTTGTGCAGACCGACATAGGTCTTCCCGCCCTCGTTCCTGGGGGCCTTAACCGACAAGGGCCTCAGAAACACAAGTTTGGCCTCACCGTGACCCCAGGGCCCCCAATAAAGTTGCATCTAAGACAGAAACTACTATAAACGCCCATTTCCTTCTTGTTCTCTGGGGTTGTTCTGATGACCTCCAGGCGAGGGGGAAGGGGGAAAGAAAACGCGCACTAGTGATTCTGTTTATTGAGTCACATATATGTGTATATTCCGTGTTCGCTGGTACAGGAGGATTTACATGGCTGTATAAAGATGACTGGGGGCACCCCGCTCTTCTGGGGCACTCACGGTGACAGGCTGGGGTCAAAACCGGCTGCCAGAGGAGAAGCGAGGCCTGGAATTATATACGTTTAGGCGCACTGGATTTAAGTGTTTCCTGAATATGCAAAGGTGGGAGCCACGTGTTTGCTGCCAGTCATCGAGGAAACGTTTAGCTTTCCAAAAATATGCTGGTTTCGATAAATAGATTTTAGCCTCTCTGCTATAGTTTTTTTTTCTTTTAATTTTAGAAATAAGTTTATACGTGTGATCTGTTTAGGGTGGCACGGGTCGGGAAAGGAGTGCGAGGCAGCAGCTCTCAGCTCTGCACTGTCCTAGTCAGGTCCTTTGTGGAGGGGGCAGCGGGGCCCACGCTGTCGTGGAGTTTGCGCACGTGTTTCTTTAAGTCAAAGTTTCTGCAAAACCCTTTGCCGCAAGTGGCGCACGTGAAAGGCTTCTTGTCATTGTGCGTGTGCATGTGGAAGGTCAGGTTGTAGACCTGGTGGAAGGCCTTGTTACAGATGGTGCATTTGTACTGCTTCTCGCCGCTATGGGTCAGCTTGTGGTTCTTGTAGTTCCCTACAGGAGACCAAAAACAAAAAAAAAGTGGGGGTATGGAGTGGAATAGAGGGGCCCGGGCGTCCCGGGGGCGTTTCAGGTGCCCGCGCAAAGAAGGCGACGCTTGGCTAGGCGGGCGCGACCTCTTCGAGTGAAGAAGTTGTCAAACTTCGTCTGCATCAAGCCCGAGGCTCTCCCGAGACCCGGCCGAGGGTCGAGTCCCGCGGAGCCGCCCCGCGCTCCTGCCCTGCCGGGTACAGGGTCGGCGCCGAGTTCCTACGCGCTCTGCCGGCGGGGAAACTTTTGCGCAGCCCAGAGACGCACCGAGTCCTTCTCCGGGCGGATGCCTCGCTCGAAGAAATTCGCACGAACCACGGCTTCGACCCTCATTTTTTTCCCTTCTCATTTTTAAAGTTACTCCCTCTGGTCTCCCGGCTACCACCTGGAGATCCAAAAATGCCTTGGGAAATGCGAGCGGGTCTGAAACTGCTGGGGACTATATCGGTTTTCCCCAAGACTTAGGTTGTTCCCAGGAGGCGGATTTTTGCCTTGAAAAAAAATTTTTTTTTTCCATTTGAAAGAGGAGTCCAGGCTACAAAGAGGGAAATGCCCTCGCCTTTTCTTAATTCCATTCCTTCTACCCTCTACTTTCCCACCTTTTCCAATTCAGTCTTACGGCTCACCCAGCTTAAATCCAGCGAAGTCTACTAACCCAGCCGGGAGAGCTTCTACCTAAACCCGGTACAACCCGATTCCAAAGAAACGCTGCGGCGGAGCCTGCATGCCGCTTTCTCGCCGCCTCCATCCTCATCCCTCCTTGCCTTCCCGCCAGCCACAACCCGCCGAGTCCGGAGGCGGAGTGAGGAGAGGGCCTCACCCGGAACGTTACCTTTTTGGTGAAAGCCTTTGCCACAGAATTCACAGACGAAGGGCTTGTAGCCCGCGTGAATGCGGATATGCGTGTTGAGCGTGGAGCTGCGGTTGAAGGCTTTGCCGCACTGGTTGCATTTATGCGGCTTTTCCTGCGGAGAGGGACGAGCGCTTTGTAAGGCCGAGAGCTGGCGGGAGAGCCCACCTAGTCGACACCTCGAAGGGACACGCCCCCCGGAAGGATCAAGGGGGACTCCTTGGCCCTTCTACCCCCAACACCACACTCAGGCTGAGAAAGGAGGCGGGGGAGTTGCGCAGGGGCAGGGGCTGACCCAGGGGCCACGTACCTGGGTGTGGATAATTTTGTGCCTGCAGAGCGTGCTGGCCTGGCGGAAGCCTTTACCGCAGACTTTACACACGAACGGTCTGGCTCCGGTGTGGACCGGCATGTGGCGGGTGAGGTTATAGTGAGCGTTAAACACCTACGGGAGGACACGAGGGGGCCTTTTGGCGCGTTTGTCTGAGGGTCTAGAATCAACCCCCCTCCAGGTCACCACCTACCTTCCCCAACCAGCATGACCCCTTTGGAAACCAGAACCCCTTTCAGCTCACACAGTGCTTTCCAATCTGCTGCTCGCACCAATACTGTACCGCCGCTGACAACAGCATCCCCATTTTACAGGACAGGAAACTGAGGCCCAGTTGCGCTCCCAATTGGAGCAGGCAGCTACTGGGGAGCATCTCATCTTAAGAGAGAGGCGTTCTAGGCTGCCCCAGGGAAGAAGCCGACTCAAGTTGCCCCTCCCGGCCCCCGATGGACCCTGAGCCTCACCTTGCCGCACACCTCGCAGGTGAAGTTTTTGGGCTTGCCGTCTGTGGAGCCCCCCGGCAACTTGCTGTGGCCCTTGACGCCGCCGCGCTCAGCGGTCAGGGCTGAGTTCTCCTTCAGCACCTGCTCCAGCGGCGCGGGCAAGCGCTCCTTATGGGGATAGGGCGCGGGATGGGAGAACTTGTCCGCAGCCAGGCCGGCCAGCTTGGCATTCTCAAGCAGAAAGAGCTTGGGGTGCGCAGCCAGGGCGCCAGGGGCCTGCGCGTTGAGGAGGCCGGACGGGAAGAGGTGGCCGCCGAGGAGCTCAGACGGCGGGTACGCGGTCGAGTCCAGGTAGTT